GCTGATAGATGAAGAGCTACAGCGAAATCTAAGAATCCAAGGCACGAAACGACCACTTTGTCTGCGATGGACTGGCAACACTCATCGTTATGAAGATGAATCAGTGGTCGCCGACATTGTTATATCCTCACCAGGTGGAAAGCACTTCACCCTCAAAGACGTACATACCGTACGTCAGCTGAACTTACCGTCCCAGTCGCTTGATGTTTCAGCGCTAAAAATAAAATATAAACATTTGCGAAACCTTCCACTACAGTCGTACCGTCATATTCAACCCAAGCTGCTAATTGGTCTAAACAACAGTGCCTTAACTTCGACAACCAAAACCCGTACTGGAACGTTGTTGGAACCCATCGCCGAGAAAACGCGTATCGGTTGGACTGTTAAAGGACAGTTGTCCAGCAAAGAAGTTATTCCTGAGCACCATGTTTTTCACATATGCGACTGCACAGATTCCGCTTGCGTTGATCTGCTGAAAGAGTTTAAAGCCTACGTCTGTTTGGATAATTTAGGCGTTACCGCTAAACCCGTAGCAAATTTGTCTAAAGACGACGAGTTAGCATTGAGTCAGCTTGATATATTTACCAAACGCGTCGGAGACCGTTTCCAAACCAGCCTGCTTTGGAAGTACCCAAAAAAGTCACTTCCTGATAGCTTACCCATGGCTAAACGCAGAGCGCTATGTTTGCGTTCCAAGATGCTTAGAGACTCCAAGTTGTCTGAAACTTTGCAGGGAAAAATCGCTCACTATTCAGAGAAAGGTTACATAAGAAGGTTATTGCCCAATGAAGTAGAGACTAAAAATTGCTGGTATTTACCGATATTTCCAGTAAAAAACCCAAACAAGCCAAATAAAGTGCGCTTAGTCTGGGATGCAGCTGCTAAAGTCAATGGCATCTCGCTAAACTCTTTGCTTTTGAAAGGCCCCGATCAATTTACGTCACTGCTATCAATATTGTGCCGATTTCGTCAGCGGAGGATTGCTGTTGGCGGTGACATCGTTGAGATGTACCACCAAGTGCTGATCAGACCAGAGGACCAAAATTACCAGCGTTTCTTATGGTATGAACCGGGAGCTCAGCAACCTTCGGCGTACGTCATGACCGTTATGACGTTCGGCGCAACCTGCCGAGAAGTTTAGCAGTAAACAACCACTACGTTGATGACATGCTCGATAGTGTAGACACTGAGGAAGATGCGTTCCGTCTAGCAACGGATGTGCAACAAATTCACCAAAAAGGCGGGGTTCTCATCCGCAACTGGGTCTCCAAGTCTAAAACGGTTCTTAAGCAGCTGAACACCGAATGTGCGGCAGATATCAACCTCGATTTAGAAAAGGATCTGTCAACCGAAAAGGTGCTCGGAATGTGGTGGGCTACCACAGAAGATTTCCTCACATTCAGAATGTCTGAGCGAATTAGAAAGAGTGACTTGATACGCACAAATCGACGGCCTACGAAGAGGGAAGTCCTCAGTCTTATCATGACTATATTCGATCCTCTAGGTCTAATTGGATACTTCGTTATGTACGCGAAGGTGATTATGCAAAATATTTGGCGAAGTAGGTGTTCATGGGATGAGCAAATTCCCGATGAAGTGTATCAGAGCTGGCTGCGGTGGATACAAAATCTTGCGAAAATGGAGGGCATCAAAATTCCACGCTGTTATATTCGCCAGACG